CCCTAAGTAGCAGAACGTTGGGGGGGATTCCGCACTGCTATAACGTCTCCTAGGGGGAGAGAACAACCCCATGGGTTCCACGAGGGAAAACCTATGGGGTTAAACCCAAACCCCTGAGTAAAAGGGAACGGTCCCGCGGGCTGGGAGTGACCCCAGAACTGGCCAAGATGGCCCGCCTTAGTCTTGGGCTGGAATAAGTGCCCGCAGGCACCACGGCACCCCGAGCCCGGGGGAAAGGGTGACGGAAACCGTACGCCTGGCCTGAAACCCCAAGCCCTTGGGGAAACCCCCTGGGAAACCCTGCACCGAGAAATCTGGACTGGAGCGTAAAGTCTCAGAGCCAGAAGCCTTTGAGGGTGGAAAAACAGGCCCCGCGCTGACACCAGGATTAGTGAACTCAGGTACAGGCCCGGAGTCAAAGCGGCCCCCACTAACGACGCCACCTGGCGCGCCGAGGCCAATTCGACCCTAGACTGCGCCGAGTCAGGGTCGGGCTGCCCCCCACTACTCCAGGACGCGCCTGGACAGGGAGAGCCTTCCCCTGCTCAAGGGCGGAGCTCGGCGGAACGAGAGCACCCCCAGCAGGAACATCAAACTCACCCACCGGTTCAGAACTGGAGGTGAAGGACCTAGAGGGATTACTTCTCTTGCCAGAAGAAGAGGACGAATCCCTCTTCCGGCTAGAAGTTCGCCGCACGGGCAGGTGAGCCTTGACAGCGGAAATGGGGAAACCCATGTGCCGAAACACGGGGTAAACCCGCACTAGCCATACTTGAAACAAGAAAGAATGAAGATAAAACGGCAACAATTTTTTTTTTGAGAAAAATACAACGAAAAAAAAAAAAAAACCACGAACGCAAGCCCAAAACTAAAGTAACGTAGCAAATAAATAACAAAAAAAATGGTCATATAAAAAAGACGACGGAAAAAGGCAACAAACTTCACGAAAACCGAACGACGAAAAACACGTCGTCATGCGCTCGGACACGTGGAGTAGGGAAAGGCCGAACAAAGGCCGAATTAAAGCAGAAAATAGCCAAAATATAACGTCTGCAAGAAACTGTTAAGTTGGGAGATGGGTTTGAGAATAAAACCGAGTAAAATTACTCAGCTACAAGAAAGAAATACCACAAATGTAAAAAGGAAAGCACTCAGCTCAGTAGTACGTCTGCCCATGGATCGTAGGGAGGGCGGGATTTTTTAATCTTTTGTTTTGCGATACAGAGATTGGTGTAAGTACCATATTTGCATACTAAAGTTATGGTAATTATTACTGAAATGAAAATGGCAGTTGTTGTATTCACCGATACAAGGACTACCTACCACTGCGGTTGACCTCCGTTGTAAAACTGGTGGTAATTGATATTCATTAGCTACAGATGTGACCATTGGTTACAGCTTTGAACACTAGTTTCAGATTTGACCATTTGTCTCGGAATAGTGTGAAAAGACTGGATGTATATTAACACAACAAATGCTTTGTGTAGGCACTAGAGAGCCTGTCACGTAAGCATGTATATTTTGTATACACTTGGGGTAAGTCACCTTAATGGTAGGGTACCGCTAGGCGGAATTGCGTCACGGGTAAAGGGTGAGATTCATGACAGGTATTGTGTTATTGTTACCGTGCACCCGATATGGATTTATCGGCATTTAAATATAACAGGCTGCAAGAAACTGTGCTTCACAGATGGGTTTGACAATTATAAAACCAGGCAGGCCTCTCCTTTAAATTACCCAAGCTACAGGACCGACCAGAAGTAAACTTTCATTCAAATGTAAAAAGGAAAGCACTGCCAGGGTCTCAGTTGATTCAGCATTTAATCAGCTGTCATGTCATTGACATAACTGTGTGGTAATTGATATTCATTAGCTACAGATGTGACCATTGGTTTGACAGGAACACTGTTCTGTTTCGTGAGCTAGAAGCTACAGGGACACTTATCATTATTTGGTTTATGAGTGTGTGAGTTAGCGAGTGTGACATCTTTAAATATATAGTTTATTTGTTTCATTAAATAAACATCATTGTTATACTGTGATCGGTTCTTCCAGCTTTCTTTTCCCGGATCACCAACCGTCGCTCGTCCCACGTTAACAGAGCCCTTTAACTGGACGTCTGAGTGTGACGTCACATTTGATGTTATCTTTCCTACCCTGGAGTATAGCATCCAGGTATGTCATGTACCTTTTATATGCTGTAAAACTTTCCTTCTTCAAGTTTTCATATCTGATAATTTTGTATGATGTTTGTTTCTTAACTGGAACAGTACTATCTTCTGTTTATGTATGTTGTCAATTTTCCTTCTATGACTGGGTATGTTTACGTATGATGTGGCGGCAGATTATAAGCCCCATCTAAGACTTGTTCGGTCTATTTAAATGATAAATGTTTAACTAAATAACAAATGTCGTTTACTACAATAAACGGCCACATTCAATTCACATCTTGTGTCCTAGTTGTTGTTTCTATGATTATCTTACTAATTTGCCATGGTGGAGGTCCGGTATAATAAGTCAATATTCGTCAAAGCAGTTAAATGTTGTAAACCAAGCATGTCCACTCTTTTCTCCAAACAACTTCACTTTGCCAGCATATTTACATCTATTAAGACTTGTGGTTGTAATTTACCATTGCCGTAAATGATGTAGGTTTAATTGTTTGGTGGAATCGCGGATAGATAGACAGAACCGTTCGGACTTATGTGTGGTATTCATCAATGCGAGTGGCGGACATACACATTGCACAGTAGTGAGCTTGTTAAACTGGATCTACGCTTACCTTGCAGCCTTTCTGTGGCTGTAAATTTCCATCCCGATTTACTAGTTTTCTGATTCCCTAGGTCATTATGAAGATAAGGCATTGTAAAAAAAGATCTGGTGTAAAATGTAGTTACATATCATTTTGTTTGTGATTCTGTCGATTTAAAAGACGAAATTTATAGTATGTTTCCATTAGTACATATGTTACGGTAGTAGTGAATCCGGATTTCAACAAACATCGTTTATCGATAGAATGATAAAAGTATACCCTTGTATGTCATCTTAAAACAGCTGATGAACATTTATAACAGAACTGGCGACACAAAACCTACAGTTTTTATGTCTATTACGTACCAAAAAAAGAAAAAAACACGCCCCCTGGCGGGACTTTGAGGCGAAGATCGATTGCTGGTTGTCGCAAATCAATTTTCAGGATCGGGTTATATATAGTGTATATCATATATTATGATTATTTGTCTGTCATTTTCTCATATGAGAGATTTTGTTTCTGTATATTAAAATTCAGGGACCTTGAAAGTTGATATCTTGGGATGATTGAGGCCAAATCAAACAATATCCATATTTATTCAATGTGCGTTTTAATATCACAATCAAATACTTAAAAGCCCGGGCAATTACTTTCTGTACATGTTTATTCTTAGTAGAAATATCATCTTAGTAAAGATATCTGGAAATAAAGAATGGAGTCGGCTGCTAAAATATACATCTCATAGTACATTGACCAAACCTGCAAAACAGTCACATGATTTTGAACAAATAATATGGGTATGTACTACATATAATTGCGGTTTTTTTTTTTGTTTTTTTTTTTTTTATCTAATTGCAAAATATTTTTGGCAGGCATTACCACAGTAAAATAACCCTTTGATTATAGTATCTAATGGTTAATTTGACATGACTTTATGAATACATCTAAAAAATTTCTTTCCCAATTGGTACATTTTATGTACAAAATGTGTTGTACGTAATTTTAATACAATTATGCAGTTACATTCGTCTTTTTGATATCACTAGAAATATTCTATTTCTTTCTGCAACATGAATCTAGACGTATCTGATGCTCGTTAGTTTGCTCGTTAGTTTCCTTGTGCTAACATTGTTCTCATTTCGGAACATGCCATTATTTTCGTTGAACTATAGATATTTACATGGCGGGTGTCGTCGATGAACCAGAAGACGCTTGCTCTTCCTGAACACCTTGCACGTTCACCGGTCTGTCCTAGATATTTTTCTCTTTTGTCCTTATTTTTCCATAGCTTCATCGACATTGATTTTGAATTAAAATCTATTAACGCGTCGGTAATGTTTTTGCTTTTTTTTTCAAACATAATCCATGAAAACGTCCATATCAGGATGGCTTTTTTTTCGCAAAATCATCAGATTATCGGATATGATAAAACATAAAAAGTAAAGATATGTATTGCTCAGATTAATGAACTACACTAATTTTATCTATTCAGTAGAAATTTCATGTGATGAAGTTTTCAACTTGAAGATTTTACCATATTTGTATCCCCATCTTACCACACTTAGTAAACTTGATGATCAGATATCTGGTCATCGGCACAATTGACGAGTTTGAAGGCAATATCTTAGTGGTTCTACGGTGAGTTATGTAACATAAATGAATTAAGCATCATATATTTGCAATAAGCTTAATGTTGAAATTAAGAACTAGCATTTTCTGTATTTACAAAGAAAGTTAAAGCTTAAATCATCTACTGGAATTGTTTTAGGTCATATTGAATATTTAAAAAAAATCGTTACACAAAAGGAAGATATCACAGAACAAACGTGATTAAATATGCTTACATTAGTTTATATTTGGTCGCATATAGGAATTATGTTGATAAATTTTGCTACAACCATTTCCAAGGTTGGGCTCTTGTTCTTTTGTAAATGGACTGGACTAACAAGATATAGAACGATTGGACATAATGTTGACAACTTGATGGATATTGACCAATGATTTTACGACACCTCGGCTTGATGAACAGTCGAAGTTCATTTTCATCCTCGTATTTCATACAATATAAAACGGACTTCGCCCTTGCTATGAAAACAGCATTTCCTCCGTAGATAACGCGTCATTTCCTGACTGTTTGTTTCCTTCCCAATATTTCGGATATCCTCCTCCGATATTAACAATAACCTTTCCGAATACATGTCATGAGAGACTCTCCTCAAACACAACTCTGGACGCCGATAATCTTTGTCTAAGAATTGATATAATCATCGATACCAACAACAAACGTTTCCGGACGTCTTTTTGGTCGATTTTTGGACAGGTACTTTACGTCACTTCCGGGATTTGTGTCACTTCCTGTATCGACAAAAGCATCTCGCTTTACTACCTTGTTAGATGGGTCCTCCATTTTCCGAAATGTACCAGATAAACGATTCATTGAAGGTGATATTCTGTTATTTTTAAGCACTCGTGTCTCTCGGACGTCATTGAAGACACTGAAGAGTCGATACGCCAGCATAGTAATCATTAACATGTTCTTTGCAGCAAAGAAAATTATACTGTAAGTCACCAAATTGTACGTTGCAATTGCGTACATCCTCACAACAAAAAAAGGGATTTCTTCCATGACCAGTGAGACGATGTTACTCCAAACGTCGGTCTCCAGACAGGTGTTCATTATACGATTTTCATTCTGAATGTCGTCACTTCCGGTTTCTTTGTCTTTTGTTTCGGTCAACACAAGGCTAAACTGAAGAACACTGAGAGTCCAGATGCTGAGAATAGAATACACTACTACATCGTCGCGCTTCACCTGGTTTTCATCAAACAACTGGAAAAAATCGGTAACGTCAGATGCCTTGCTGAGAAAGACAAAAAGAAGCTGGGAGAGTTTGTCTCTGGTAAGTCTTCCTTTGGGAAGTATCCATCTAGCGAAGATGATTAAAAGGAGAAATGTCTGTTCAATTGTAAACACCCAAGTCTCGTTTGTTAAGTTCACGGAAAGTCCATCCTGAAAAAAATATCCGAGCTTTAGTTACAATTTATTAATATTTGTAAATAGTCACATCTTGTCAATGTGTTATCATGAATATCAGTTATGTCATTTTCGTCTAGAAGTGTTGACACACTGTTTCCAATAGGGTGTCAGTAGCTTGAATAACTTGCCTGTCCGGGGAGGAGAGGGGGGATACCTGTCAGTGGTGTGAATAAGTTGTCTGTCCGGGGAGGAGAGGGGGATATCTGTCAGTGGTGTGAATAAGTTGTCTGTCCGGGGAGGAGAGGGGGATACCTGTCAGTGGTGTGAATAAGTTGCTTGTCATTGGGATCGATCGATTGCCCATCAGTAGTGTGGGTAAACTGCTTATCAGTTTGGCAAATAAACTGCCTGTCTTTGGGGTAAATAATTTACCCGACAGTACGGTGAATATCAAAGGAGTGGATAAATTGCCTGTCGTGGGATGGCCGAATGGTCTGTCGATAGGGTGATTCTATGATTTTTCCAACTTACCCCGTACCGTAGGTTTCGTGTCGCGCCTGATTTTCCAACTTACCACGTACAACAGGTTTAGTGCCTCGGCGGTCGATTTTCCAACTTACCCCATACAGTAGGTTTCGTGTCGCGCCTGATTTTCCAACTTACCCCGTACAACAGGTTTAGTGCCTCGGCGGTCGATTTTCCAACTTACCCCATGCAGTAGGTTTCGTGTCGCGCATGATTTTCCAACTTACCACGTACAACAGGTTTAGTGCCTCGGCGGTCGATTTTCCAACTTACCCAATACAGTAGGTTTCGTGTCGCGCCTGATTTTCCAACTTACCCCGTACAACAGGTTTAGTGCCTCGGCGGTCGATTTTCCAACTTACCCCATACAGTAGGTTTCGTGTCGCGTCTGATTTTCCAACTTACCCCGCACAACAGGTTTAGTGCCTCGGCGGTCGATTTTCCAACTTACCACATACAGTAAGTTTCATGTCGCGTCTGATTTTTCAACTTACCCCATACAGTATGTTTAGTGCCTCGGCGGTCGATATGTTACGGTTCGGCGTGCCATTTATCTTGTCTAGCTCAAGTCTCCAAATACAGGGTACGTTTATCAGTGTAAACACGAACGTACATAGCGACATCCTAAAATGAAATACAAGATGAAACATTTTTAAGATTAAACCAAACTTTCTCTTAGACAAATTGAAATGTACAGGGCACGTTCTTATTCAAATTAACACATGTTATTACAAACCTGGCTACATACAGGTCTTTTGTAAATTTTCATTATTATTTTTTTCACAGCACTGATATATATAATGTGTTTGTAAATTTAGGTGAAAGAAAAATGAAAGTTAACGTGAAATTCCCATTGACCTTAAAATTGATTGTTTTCTTTTATTCAATGTTTACAATAGTAAATATACATGTATATTATTTTATAAACTTAGGAATATATACATATATATTCTTTGGTCAATTCACCAATTTTATCTTTTCTACATGCATTTCACAAAATTCATCATTTTATCTACAGTTTAGATATTATTGTTCATTAATATACATGTACATTACTTAATGATATATATAAAGTCTTTATTTTAAACAGAGTTGTGGTTCTTTGCGGTCAATCTGATCGACCTCACTATTAAGACCACCTCGCTATAAAGACCACTTTTGTCCAGTCCCCAAAGTGGTTTTAATAGCGAAGTTTCACTGTAAGTGGTTTCCGCCTTTTAAACATAATTTCAATGAAATAAATTGTTTTTAATACTGAGCCCGAAGATTTTTTAAACTACCCGCTACACCGACTGGCTGTAGTAGAGATAAGGACAGTTTAACCCCAACTATGATACCTTGTGACTGACACAGGTCGGGTATGGTTTACACAAACACTGTCATTTTACTCCAGTAATGAACATACCTTAAAGGTAAACACACCAACAAATAGATAATTATCGGACTGACAGCCGCAGTCAACAGTAAACTTATCACTTCAGTACTACTGATGATGATCTGTCTGTGTCTGTTTTAAATCTCAAGGGGACCAGCGCAATATCATAATAAAAGATGTTTGTTATATCTACAAACACTTCAAACCAAGGAGGAACGTTATAATCGAAATATTTCCTGTCCTACCTTTGTATATACAACATAATATCAGAACTATTACATTTCCTGTCCGATCTTTATATATATACAACATATATCAGAACTATTACATTTCCTGTCCCACCTTTATATATACAACATAATATCAGAGCTGTTACATTTCCTGTCCGATCTTTATATATACAACATAATATCAGAACTGTTACATTTCCTGTCCTATCTGTATATATACAACATAATATCAGAACTGTTACATTTCCTGTCCCACCTTTATATATACAACATAATATCAGAGCTGTTACATTTCCTGTCCCACCTTTATATATACAACATAATATCAGAGCTGTTACATTTCCTGTCCCAAATTTATATATACAACAGAATATCAGAACTGTTACATTTCCTGTCCCACCTTTATATATACAACATAATATCAGTACTATTACATTTCCTGTCCGAGGTTTTTTTTTTCAAATATAGTCGATATATTTCCCCTCTAATTCTGTAGTTGAGAACTTACTTAACTGATAATTACATGCACATTTAATTATTGATAAGACCAATCTTCTCTTTTTAAATAATTATTTGTTGAACTTTACCATTGAATTTTTCGTGAAAAGTGTTGATTCAAACATTAAATTCATCACAACCATTTCGCTAATGGGGTAATGGCTGTTTATCTCTTAAAATTATTTAAAACCCAAAACTTAACATTTTTCTTGATTCGTGATTTTTTCAGTTTGTACCATAATCGCAATTCTGTACTGTTGCCATAAAATTACTACGTCATGTAACATACTTCTTCAATAAAAGATCATTATCTGTAGATTAGGAGCATTGATAAACAGTTTGTAGAAGAAGTATATTTTATATAAGTCAAACAATATGCGGGACGGCACCAATATCTATATATATATGTATGTAATATGTATGTAATTAGTGGTCAGCCATCCTACATACAAGGTAGATAATTCACATATGTGAAATACAAACAGGATCTTAAATGAAAACTTAATTTCATGTGAAATTTTGTGAAACCAGCCTTAAAAATATTTTTACGAGTCTTGGCGAACATTAACAAAAACTCCAAAACAAGTATCATAAAATCTTGTTCGAAATATAGAGCAAACGCAAGCAGATATTATGTTGCGACATTTTAAATTCGTGATATTACGTCATATTATGACATCACAATCGATTTCCAGAATGAAATTTCTTACAACACAATCAGTAGATAATTTCAGCGTGACGTTTCGATGACTCCTCGGTCACCTTCGTCAGACAAATGGCCAGTGTAAATTGTATCAGTATTGGTAATGCGCATCGTTAAAAAAGAATTTGAAGAAAGCTAAATGTCTAAGAGAAACGCCAATTATTACTCAGAGGAATTTTTTGCCGCCAACAATCGGGTGATGTAATGAAAAAATATCATATAACGTGGTGTATTTCACGAGTGTGACAGAATATCTATATTGTATACAAAACACGAGTGAAGCAATGTACATTTAGATATATTTTACCATAAGAGTGAAACAATATACATTTAGATATATTTTACCATAAGAGTGAAACAATATACATTTAGATATGTTTACCATAAGAGTGAAACAATATGCATTTAGATATATTTACCATAAGAGTGAAACAATATACATTTAGATTTATTTTACCATAAGAGTGAAACAATATACATTTAGATATATTTTACCATAAGAGTGAAACAATATACACTTAGATATATTTTACCATAAGAGTGAAACAATATACATTTAGATATATTTACCATAAGAGTGAAACAATATACATTTAGATATATTTAGATATATTATACCATAAGAGTGAAACAATATACATTTAGATATATTTACCATAAGAGTGAAACAATCTACATTTAGATATATTTCACCATAAGAATGAAACAATATACATATATTCTAACATATATATGAAATTTACATGGAGTCATTAAATTTTCTTTTTATTATATTTTCTAAAGGAAAAGTGAATAGAAAAAAAAACATTACAGATACCGGTGTTCAAAAACGTTTTGGTAATACAGGTATTGTGTTTTTGACGTCAGACCGTTTGGCGTTAAGCTTGACAACAAGACGACGCCGTTTTGAATAGAAAGCTTCACATGGTAATTTGTCATTTTAAGCTGTAATCTTACATAAACTAGTTACAAAACTATTTATATGAGCATGATTGCATGAATAGAGAAAACCCGAACGCACCGCTCTGATTTTTTGAAAAGTACAAATGTATATTATCACCGGAAATATTTACAGCACTGCAGTGATGATACATTCCTATATTTCCTCGTCTAAGACTTGTAAAAAACCTGATCATCATGTATTTTTATCGATAAGTACAAACACGGAGGTTAGTAAGCTTATGTTACTTAAATTTAATTAAACTTTACGACCTAACTAATTGCCCGTTATCTTTCAGCTAAATAACATATTTGTGATTTGCCTGTTTTTACATTAGCTTGATCTAGTCGATCTCTACTAAAGTTTTCACATTCTTGCGATGATTCTGAGAATCTTTTCACCTCGACAATTAGCGTTGGTTCTCACTTCGACAATTCCTATTCTATTAATCTTATCCCTAAGCTCTAGTAGTGTTTATGAAATGACACCAATTATACAGCTGTTTAATTAGAAACCTTACCATGAATGTTCCTTGCCTTTCCTAATTTTGAGACAGTAGGCTGTTTCTACTATCACCAATAGGTAGGTGCTGCAGTAGACCCAGTACAAGGGGTCTCCTATCACAGTAATTGTCCTCCATATTGCCACAAAGTTGTGAAGACAGAACAGAAATCGGACGAATAACGCCTTGACAATGTACATTTTCTCGGCTCGGGTCATAGCTGGGCTGTCTCCAGCACTCGGTGTGGTCGACGGTTTCATTTTGATATCCCTCCACTGAATGTTGTTTGTTGAAATAAGCACGAGGATTTTAAAGTAAAATTAACAACTTACACAAGCATTGAAATAAACACCACATCAATATTATCTTTCCATGTTTTGTTACGTACAAACTATCAAAAGCATATCAATGATGCTACCCCCACCCATACGTAACGGAGTGTACACGGAGAGCGATCTTATTATTAAAACATTCCCGCTGATATCGCGCTGTTTACTTTTATCATATAGAAATAGTAATGAATACTTAAAATTATCTCCAGGTCGTTCAGGCTCCAGGATCAATAAACTGAGCATATAAATGACTCGAACTGCGAATAAAAAGTTAGCAATTATGATAAAAGGATTCGGAAAAAATTGATATTTTTCTTTTTGGGATTTTTTAAAAATTCAATACTGCTTATCACTTCAGATTTACGGAAGCGTATTCCGGCCACGTTGTGTTTTATTTTATCTCGAAATTTCGAAATAGCAACTCGAAATTTCGAGTTAGTAATCCGAAATTTTGAGATTACTAACTTAAAATTTCGAGTTACTTTTTCGAAATTTCGAGTTAAAATAAAACCCAACGTGGCCGGAATACGCTTCCGTACAAATTTCCTTTCTCTTTCGTATTTGTTAATTTCACTAAAGGACGAGTGTCCTTAGCAGTAATTTTAATACACGGTTAGGAGACAGAATAGAAATCAATTGTAATTGCTTACAGTGAAATAGTACTATATATTACATGTAGAAATATAAAGGGACAAATTTTGGACCCAATTCAATCATCGATCAGTCCTGTAAATTTTTCTATGGAAATTGTCTAAAATTTTGGCGATTTTTCTTTGATAAATGCTGAAAAAAATTGAACTGTTAATTGGGGGGTTATTTGTAGGAGAAGATCAGAGAGGTGTAGGGCGAGTCGAATACTATAACCTACCCATCATCAATACAGGTGTTAGACAATATTCAGTATTTTGATATTCATTTCCTGTAATATTGTTTCATATGATACCTTCATAAATCTCAACAACTTTTTTATATCTTGCTAAATTTGTGTATTGTTATACTTGTCTTTTGGATACTTAGAAATTCTTAAAATAATTTTTTAACGAAAAATTTAAACGTTGAAACTCCTTTCACTCATAAACTCGGATAATTCGAAGTTTTTTCACAATACTGACAACTTCGAATTAAGAAAGTTTGACTGTATATGTATCTATATTTGGAATCAGTAATGTCAAAGATTTGTAAGAATGTTTAACCAATTAGGATAAAGGCATATTTGATTTAAAATTTGCACTGTTTTATTCTGAATTTCTGAGTTTGAGATAATACAAAATTATGTTTATATGTCGCAATGACCTCCAAACCGTTCAGCGATACTTGTCACGCTCTAGATCATAGGCAGTGCTTATTTTCAAATCCACATGTTTTACATGTTATACATCATTTTTTACGGACCTTATGGAGACACTTCCGATTTTTTTTTACAACAACACAATACCATATAAGATGGCAAAATGAGTAATAATTCTGTTGTTGAGGAGTTGAATGACAAAACAAATACAGAAGTATTTCATGATTGTCAATGATGCATGGATTCTGATATTATAGTGTGATTGCGATTTTTGGTAAATCGAGAATGTAATACCACCGTCTGTGTTCCGTAAAGCGACCCAACTAGGACATGACACCAGTTAAAGTTCCCGGATGTCCTAGATTGTCCGTTTTGAGACCTTTTGACTTCCAGCTTCTGCCCTTGTGGGTCACCGGTGTGACCAATGTTTCTCACTACCCGACATGAATAACATATTTTGTTCAATCCTTGAGTTACACTGCTCACGGAGTTTTCTAGACTCTGTGTATCATAGAGTTACAATGCAAGCTTTAATCTACATCTATAAACGGCCTTGATGTGTCTCACATGGGTTTCGCTATGTCCATGATCTCTAGTCGTTTGTGATCAACCAGTTATTTACCCTGAGTAGTAATAAAGTACACCAGCTTGGCTAAACACAAATAACATTCCTGAAGCAATGATGGACGAAAAGTTATGTTAGTTACCAATAGCAACACTACAACAAAATGCCACCTTCATTCAAATTCCACTAAACACCCGTAATATAATTCTAGGTTAATTCAAGTATGGCCATGTTGTTAAATTAGAACTAGGTCTATGACGATAAAACCACAAATCACACTGGCGAGCTGTAAACTTCATATCGCACACGCAATTAAAATTATATTTGCCATTAAGGTCATGATGCAGTCCATCAAACTTTCCCAAGGTCTCCATCAGACCTTTCAAACCTTTCTGTTGTGATAAAGTTATTTTGATTTAAACAATATTTTATTGAATTGCACAAATATATAACATATTACACAAATTGTATCCAGAAAAATGGTTCGTTTGTACTTGTAGACACTGGCCAATAGCTCAGCATGACAGAATTCTGTAGGAGACATCACCACATGTATCATACATATAAAAGATGTCATCACTAATTTTCATGCCACCGCTCGGAATCGAACCTAGAACCCCTGGCTTCCTAATCTGACGCTCAACCGATCGAGCTAAACGTAAGTTCTCTCTAGCGTATTGCGGCTAGGGGGGGGCAGAAGTTCTCAAAATCCAGTCAGTTATGTACAATTGTAGTGTGTACAGTCTGGCAAACATTACATTACCATGTCATTGAGTATACAATTTACAGAGCTTTCATATGGAAACAAAACTTTTACTTTTTGTTACGAATATCTGAACAGTCTTAAAGATTTCTTTTTTTTCTGTTTCGGTACGTTTTGAATCGATTTGAAATACATTAGAGCCAAACAATTAGACTGTATCATACAGCTGTTTTGTCCTTCTAAGACTCGTCAGTGATGCTACATCATACAGCTGTTTTGTCCTTCTAAGACTCGTCAGTGATGCTACATCATACAGCTGTTTTGTCCTTCTAAGACTCGTCAGTGATGCTACATCATACAGCTGTTTTGTCCTTCTAGGACTCGTCAGTGATGCTACGGACCTAAAATGGACCTAGAAGGCGACTTATGAAAATCCAAAGTGGTAAAAGAAAAGTGAAAATCAAGACGGGGAGGGTAAATATATTTGTAGATTGGATTTAACCAGTTACAAAATATGAATTTTCAATCAAGTTGTTGTTATGCAGATGTTCCCGAAGACAGCCGCATTTTAAGCGAAGGCTAGCGTGATATGTTTTTCCTCTTTGTTTAGCAATATTGTAAAACAAAGAAACCTTCGATTTATCAACATTTGAGGAGAGAAATAGACATATTATTCCTTATTGTCAAATTTCTAGTTAGAGGAAAGAAATAATGGTAATAGAATGTTGTATCATATTGTAGTTTAATGATATTCTGAGACTGACGCGCAGTGTAACCTTACCTTTAATTTATTTTATCAGGTAGTATATATATCAGATGATATATCTGCCATATACGTCTTTCTTTGAATGACATTGTGAAGCTGAATCCCTTTACGTCAGCGCCAGTTTCTATAAAGAGATTCGTTGTTACTTACTATAGATTGGCACCACGTGTCTTTCTTAGTATGTTCATTGGATATGTTGTCCTATACTTCATCAACTGACAAATATAAATGTGTTAGAGTCTTTTGCTATCAATTTTGAATTTCAACTAAGAATATTGATACACTCTGACGATTTATCCATATCGTTAAGTTTCTTGTTTCCTATTGTCGTTGATAGAACCGGTAACATTACAAAATAAAGTTATCTGAAAGGTGTCAATATCTTTCACGAAAATCGTGGCATTTGGGAACTAACCTTTGAATATTGAATTAACTGCGACATATCAAAGCCGTAGGTTTGGTAAGCAGGTGTGACTATCTAGAAATGGCAACTCAACGTGGAGTTCGAAAAATATTAAAATGATTCAGCCTTCTCCATCTCAACATCTTCACCAAACGATCCCAAGAAAGCCCATTATCCAAGCAATCTCCAATAAGCAGAGCACACCTGTTGCGTTTCTTAAGTTTTTCCCCTAATTACTTATAATTTTTCATTGTACTTTATTAACAAGAAGAGACTTGTTAAAGTTTTACAACTTTTGCAAAACCTTTTTTTGGCCAATTGACTATAAAAGTATGTTTAAAGTCATTGAAAGTCGAAGGTCATAACACATCATTCGGAGACCTTTCGAATATAAACAAACAGCATGGCTAGTCTCTAGTAGTACCAGCTACAATATGAGCAACATGACAATGTTTCTATAAAGAAACCTTTAGAGATACGGGAGAACAAAAATCAGCGGCAGAGCAGCTGGGAACCATGCACGAGATAACACGTGGGTGTAGCACGTGAGAATAGTACGCAAAGCAATGCTTTGGAGCAAAAAGTTGAACAATAGATACTAATAGCAACGAATTTTTTATGCACGTGACTAGAACGTGGGTACCGAAATTCGGAAGAATTCGTGAGAACCACACAAGATGCACAAAACAGAATAATGAATTACAGCATAAATGTTTATCAGTACTAAGTAAGTATCCCCATAAGTATACAGAAAGGATCGATACTATTGGGTGAATAGCTGATCACTGTCTGCGTCTATTTACATAGAAACGAATTAAATATTTTACGTGTAGATCAAATCGATTTAAGGTAATTACTTGTACTATTTTATTGTATTAAATCTAACGTTATCGACATCACGGTGACGTCACACTGGTGCCCAATTATAGACACGCTGTCTGTATTTCTGATGGTTTCAGTCATGAATCGATTTCCAATATCGATGGATTCTCTATAATATGTTGTCTTGTTTACTCAGTGTCAATAAGGCTTTGTACTGACCAAGATACATTTCTATAAAAGACACTTAGTATCGACATTTATTTCGGAGCGTACCGTGCCATGCTTCGGTGAGGTATTTACAGGAGGACGAATAACTGTTTTCTCTTTACTTACATCGATATGTAATTAATAAGTTTTGTGTTATTGTTAATTATGGTGGAA